CCTTCCATCCCTCCCCATCCTGTCCCCCGGACCCTGGAAATGGAAGACAATGTGGGATGGGGCCCACGCCCCTGTCTGAGGTACAGTCACTGCGCCTTGCCCCCCTGCCCCTGCTCTGCCTTCTTCCCGCCCCCACGAGTGCTGGGTGGGGTGGTTGGGGGTGGGTGTTTATAGAGGGTCTCCTGGGAGTTGGAGTTGGTGACTCGGCAACTTGGTCTGGGCTCGGGATGTCTGTGCGAGGCCTCTGTCCCCAACTTCGTGTGATCTAGTGTGCCAGGGTGGGGTAGTCCTACAATCAGAGCTGAGTGCTCCATCCTGAACAACAGTGGCCCACCCTTGGGGAATGGCAGCTAGTCATCGACTACAGGACAGCTGGAGCCAGGGGCTATTGCTGGTCAGTCGCTGGTGTGTGTGTGCGTGTGTCTATCTGAGTGTGTGTGAGAGAGGTCAGGTCAGCCTTTGTGGGGGGGGTACGGTTGGTGGAGAGGCCAGGGAGGAGTAGACCAGCAAGCCCACAGGCAAGGGGCACTGAGGGCAGCTGGCTGGAGCTGCGGGTGGCCGGGGAGGGTTGGGATGGGGCAGGGCAAAGCACTGAGACAGACAGGTGACCACAAGTACCAGCCTGACAGTTGATGGAAGCACCGATTGGCCCAGGAGGGGGCCAGAAAGTCCAGGGAGGAGGGTGGGGGGAGCAGGGCAAGTGGGAAGGTCTCAGGCGCTGAGCCAGTGATGGAGCCTCTGGCTACAGGCGGTTGGTGGTTGACAGCAGGGGGGCCTACAGCCCAGAGGGAGATACCCCACCTGCTCACGAAGGCTGAATGACAGCTTGCAGGTGAGTAGGACAACCCTCCCCACCCCCACCCCCACCCGCCTAGGAGACACCTTTCAGCCGGGAAGGGAGGGGGCGGTGTGCGTGCATATACTGGGAAACTTGCCTTCACGCGTCTCCCAGGAAGCCGCCCTACCTACCTCCTGCCCGAGGGGGAGGGGCAGCACGGGCGGGAGCAGTGGATGTGGAGGTGTGGGGGGGGGGAGGGAAGATTGCCGAGTCCCCTTCCCCACCCCACCCAGCCACCCCCCACACATACACACACGTGCAGGCCCACGCGCACACACACACCCACTACACACATGCGATTCAGTTGACAGCCTGAGCTAAGAGAGGGGTGTGGGGTGTGTGTGGAGGGGTCACGATCGGAAAAGTGAACGGTGGCGAGAATGGCTGTAGAAAGATGCATAATTTTGCTTTATCCCTCACAGTGATGGGTTCTCTAAAGATCTTTCCTCCTCCTCCTCCTCCTCCTCCTCCTCCTCTTCTTCCTCGGGGGCCGAGAGCTCTTCCACCCCTTGGAGACCCACGCCGTTTGCTTCCCCCCCTTTTCGCTCACTCTCGGCCTCAGGCCCCCGCAGGGGGAGGCGAGCTGCGCTGGGCTCTCTCTACATCCTCCACCACAGCCAGCCCAGGGCGGAGAGGAGGGTCAGGGGCCCTGGGGGCCTCGGCGCCGAGTTCTCCAGGGATCCTGGGCCTGGAGAGAGAGAGACAGAGGGTCACGGGAGGGGCCGATCTCACGCCTGTCTCCTCCAGGAGATCCGGGCAGGGTTGGCCGCTTACTACTCGGGGCTCAGTTCAAGGGCCACCCCGTCCAGGAAGCCCTCCCTGGTCAGTTTACCTGGTGTTACCGTCCCCAATGCTATTGCTTATTTCCTCCGTAGCCTGTATCGATATCCGAAATTAATTTGTTCGCGCATTTATGTGTGTGTGTTTGCTTTTCACGTTACTCAGGCGTCTACTTGTTTATTGCTTTTCTACTGCTACGAGCCCGAATGCTCTGCGAGCCCCTCCCTGGACCTGTCCTGTGGGCGCCGCTGCGTCTCTAGCGCCCAACGCCCGGCCCCCTGGGCGCCCGGCGAGTCGGCGCTCGTTGGAGGGAACGTTTTCTCGCCGCAGTTCCTAAAGCCTCGGCATCCTCCTCCTTCCCATCTTTCCTAAGCTCCCGGTGAGTCTCAGGGAGGTCCCGGAGTCGCCGCAGTCCGCCCGGACCCCGCCCCCT